TGTGTGTGTGTGTGTGTGTGTGTGTGTGTGTGTGTGTGTGTGTGTGTGTGTGTGTTGGCAAAGAACTATGCCCCCAAAGGCTTCTCTGAAGTAGATTGCCAGGCCTTTCCTCTGAGGCACCCCTGGGTGGGCTGGAGCGGTCGAGCATGGTAACCATGGGTAACTGAAGGGACCCCATAACGATAAGAGAAGGGGAGCCTTTGAGTGCAGGGAGGGATGAAAGAGGAGAGTTTGGCCTTACTCTCAGAAGCACTAAGACCAGGAATAGACCTGGGAGGGGGTGGCCCTGTCCTGAAGGGGCCTCCAGTCTGCCAGCTGCATAGGTCATTGATGGCCGGAGACCACCTAGGGGGTCAGATACCTTCTCCTTATTCACCCCTCAAAATCGCCCAGGTGGTCCCCACCGGGTACACAGCTGAGTCACTAGCTCCAAGCCTAGACTCCGACCTGGGATGAATGAAGCTCTCCTGGGCCCCTCCCCTCCCCCACGGCAAGGCCATGTAAGTGATTCCCTGCATGGAAGAGCGATTTCCACAAGCCCTAAAAATAACCGAGCCACTTCATTCTCTGAACTTAACCTCCCCTGCCCACCCCCACAGCCAACAAGATAAAGGCAGCTGCCCCAGCCTGGCAGGGGACAGAGACCCGGACGACGGAGGAGACAGGGCAACGACCAGGCAGCTGACCTGACCAGCATAGCAGGGACACCGAGAGGAACGACCGACCCCTGCAGCCCACACCTGCCACAGACCCAGAGCTGTAAGTACCTGTCCAATGGCCCAGCCATGGCAGGTGGCCCTCCAGGCTGGAATCCCCCCAGGGTAGTGTGAGTGGCGGTGGCTGGAGGGGGAAGAGGTCTAAGGGCCGTGTGGCTGGGTCTGTGAGTGGAGAGGTCTCTGGCCCAAAGAATCCACAGAGCAGAGTCAGTGCATGTGCCGCCCCCCACCACCACCACCACACACACACCTGTTGGAGAACTCAGAGCGGCCACCACAGGCCTGAGCCAGCAGAGCAGACAGGTCATTGTCCGTCTGCCTAGAAATGATCCAGGCCTTCCCCAGGAGGAGCTGGCCGGGACTGCAACTTTAAAAATACAAATCGGGAACCCTTCGGGCTCTAGGGTTCCCGCCACCAGGGGATCCCAGGGAGGAAAGAGAGATGGAAGGTATGGAAGGTAGGGGGCGGCCTGAGAGGGATGGGGAGTGGTAGGCAGGCCTGATTGGCTTTGGCAGGATAACACCACCACACACACACACAGTTGTTGTGGGCACAAGTCTTGGCATACGTGGCCCTGGAATTTCTGCCCGAGGCTGGCCTGAGCCCAGCCCCAAGTGCCCCTGGCCTGGGACCTGGGGTAGGGTGTGATGAGGTCTGGTGGGAAAGCCATTAGCCAGATCTGGGGCTCATATTGGGGGTCCAGATCTGAATCTGCAGAGATGGACCAAGGAGGAAGCATTTAGGGCAAAGGCAAGGTCACTCTGAGAGTCTGGCCCTGCCCTAGGAAGCCAGGCTCTGGCTTCGGCCTCCGTGGTAAATCTGGTGGGACTTCCACAGTGTGTCCTCTAGAAACATAGGGAGCCTCCCTGGGCCAGGCGGGGATGGCGGGACGGTGGAATGCAGGCCTCTGGGGCCGGCTCCAGGCTTTTCCCGATGCCTTGCTCCAAGTCCATGGTGAGCTCCGTTTCCCTCTGTGGGCCTCAGTGCCCCCTTCCCACCACCCCCTCGCCCCATCTGAACAACAGGGAGTTAGGTGACCCTGAAGAGTCCCTGGGTCTGGCACTGCTACCATCTGAGATTCTCGCCCTTTGTGGGCACATGCAGAGACTGGAGATTCCTGGAGGTGGGGTGGGGCCTGTGGCTACGCCACGGTGGTGCTGACGGGGCAGGGGAGAGGCCGGCAGGCCCAGGTTGGCCTTTGGCATAAGGTCCTCCCAGGAAAATGCCCCCTGGGGGAACAGTATGGGCAGGGGTAGCAGGCTGTTGTATAGCTAAGAACTCCAGGTCTGGAGGGTCTGGTATCTTCCAGAGGACCTGTGGGGGTGGGGTGGGACTTGCAGCGCAGGAGCCCCCTCTGCCTCCTGAGCTGTGCATGAGGAGGAAGTTCTGTCCCCACCTGCTTCCGATGTCCCTGCTTCTGCTACCCCAAGTTCCTTCAGCCAGGGGCAGTTTTCAGGATCCAGCATCCCATCTTGCTGCACCAGGGAGTAGGACCTAGTGTGGGGCCAGGGCCCTGAGAAGCCTGGGGTAGAGAAGAGGATGGGCACCCAGGGTCCCCGGGCCCCCACTGGCAGAGACCAGGGCTGCAGTGCTGCGGTCAGGGCCTGGGCTATATTTAGTACCCGTGCAGAGCAGGCCAGGGGTCAGGAGCCAATGGGGCTCAGCATGCTTCTCATTCCTTCCCTGCTGGCCCCTGGAGGCGTTTAGTACACCTGTCACAAGGCAGATAAGACACACATGAGACAAAGACCAGGGAAGGGCTTGAGAGTGACAGGGCATGGAGGGGTCAAGGGCAGAGCCAAGAGAAGCAGTGTCCCTAGTTTTGTGAGGAAGGAGGAAGAGGAGGGGCAAGGATTCCGTCTGGAGGGCAGGGCAGAGGGGAAAATGAAGAGTAGGTCTTGGTGGGCACATAAGGTGCCAAAGGTGAACAGACCCCTGGGTGAACACATGTGGAGGAGCAAAGGGCAGGCCTGTCTCTGTCGAAAGGTCCCCTGGCCCCACACCCCCACCTAGGGGCCACCCTCACTTTCCGCTGAGGGGCTTTATAGCCAGGAAGAAAAATTCTCCTTTCTACCTTCTTATTTCTCAGGTCCAGACCCCACATGAGGTCTGGGAGCTCCAAGCCTACACTGCCCGCCGCTCCTTTACCAAGCCCTTCTCTGGGGCCCATTCTCATTCTTTTGTCATGAGAGGCTAGACCAGAAGGCCCAAGGGTCAGACCTTCTGAGTCCTGGAATCAGGAATTCAGAACCTGGCTCGGCCTGACCACGATATAGCGGGTGACCTTCCTGAGCCTCCACACCCACATGGCTTCCTCCAGAGCCTGGGGAAGCCTGCTGGTGCCCACCTTGCCTCCTGGGAAAGGCCAGGGAGTGAGCAAGCTCGCTGCTGAGGTCGCAAGGGTGCCCTCTTGCTTTCTGTAAAGGAATGTCATCTCCAAGGGAAATGGATGCCCATTTGAGGGTCGCTCCCACCCCTCCCCATTTAGGGCAAACAGTTCACGCACCGGGCTGCTAACTGTCCACCTGGGTAGACAAACCTAGCTGTGTACTTCTGGAACTCACGTCAACTCTGACACACAGACATTACCAGGAGTGGT